AAACACGAGCTGACATTGTTCAATCCATTCGAAAGTCTCATTCCTTTTAATGGCTTTAAAGAAGGGGAGGCATCGACCTGCCGACTTGGACATGAACTGGCTTAGGGCTACTACCCGGCTAGTCAGCCTCTGGACTTCTTTTATTTTCCAAGGTGGACTCATGTCCATAATTGCCTTTATCTTTTCTGGGTTGGCTTCGATACCACGCCGGTTGACTATGTAGCCTAAAAATTTTTCCAAAGTGATTCCGAAGACACACTTATTCGGATTTAATTTCATATTATATTTTCTTAAAATTTGGAAAACAACGTATAAATCATTAATTAAAGATTCAGAGAACTAGGTCTTTACAACCATGTCGTCAACATAATACTCCACTTTATTTTCAATCAAAGACTCAATTATAAGTCGCTGGAAGGTTTCTCCAGCGCTTTTCAAACCAAAGGGCATTACTTTATAGCAGTATAGCCCTAGTTCGGTTACAAAGGCAGTTTTGTCTTGGTCAGTCATGTCCATCCTAATCTAACTATTGCCGGAGTAGGCGTCCATAAAACTCAGCAACTCGTGCCCTGAGGTTGCATATACCAGGCGGTCAATTCTGGGTAGGGGAAGCAATCCTTTGGGCAGGTTCTATTCAGGTAGGTGTAATCGACCCACATGCGCCACTTGCCATTGGCTTTCTTCACGAGCACCGGGTTTGCAACCTAGCTCGAGTAATGGACCTCCCTGATAAAGTCTGCTGCGAGGAGCATCCCGACCTCCTCATCGACTACCCTCCACCGTTCGGGGGCGAGGTTGCGTTTTCTTTGTCGGACTGGCCTAACTAAAGGGTCCACATCCAGTTTGTGAGTTACGACACGAGGGTCAATTCCGGGCATTTCTATTGCAGACCAGGGAAAAATGTCTAAATTGTTAAGTAGAAAACTTACTAGTTTATTTCATAGCGGTTCAATTACGAGTGCTCCGATCCGGAGAGTCTTAGTCGGTTCGGTCTCGGACACTGGTATGTGGACCGTCTCTTCCATCGGGGCAGCTCGCTCCTCACTGTAGTCTGCCGGTCGTTCCAGTTTGACGTCCTCTGCTATCTTTGCTTTTTTTTAAGAGTAGCCACATAACACCTCGAGGACTCGAGTTGGTCGCCTTGTACTACTCTCACTCCGTAATCTGTTGGAAACTTCATCGTGAGGTAGTAGGTCGACAATATTGCGCGTAAAACATGCGTAATAGGCCGACCTATGATTACATTATACGGGGATGGGGTAGTAACCACTAGGAATGTGTGCTCGATCCGGACAATATTTGGCCGTGTACCCCCGCGTACCGCCGCGTACCCCTGCCTCCGCGTACCCCCGCCTTCTTTTCCGCTGAACCCTACTAGTGGGGCGTCTACCGGCGTTAGGTCACTCTGTTGTAATTGTAGCTTGTCAAAGGTTTCCTTGAAGAGGATATCTGTCGAACTACCTGGATCCACCAAGATCCGCCTTACTTCAAAGTCATTGATGACCATCTTCATGATCAGGGCGTCATCATGAGGATACTAGATCCCGAGGGCATCGTCCTCGATAAAGTAGATCGGTTCTTTGATTCGAGGTCGTTTGGTTGGGTTCTTTGCTTCGTGCTTTAGCTCTCGGCATGATGTTCTCCCAGCCGCCACCGTGCACCCTGCTACAATAGATCCCCGGTGATCATATTAATCACTCCGCGGATTGGTCTCTCTTCTGGTAGTGGGCGAGGTGGCTGTTCGTTCTGTCTGCTACTCTTTGGGGCGTCTTTTTTCTGATCTCCCTGTCGGTTCCCCTGTTCCTTTTCTTTGTGTAGAATGTACTTTTTCAAGTACCCACGATGAATCAACTCTTCAATTTCATCGCGAAGGTTTCTACAGTTTTTTGTGCTATGACCATAGTCCCGATGAAAGTGACAATAGACGTTCGGGTTCCTAGTCATTGGATCTCCGTTGAGTCTGGATCGCCATCTGACGATAGGGGAATCCTTTATTGCCATTAAGATCTCTCCTCGCTTCGTGTTCAAAGGGGTGTAGTTCATCCTCTCGACTGGAGGGGTCCTGGAACACCGACCCGACCTGTAACTTTGCGAGGGGGATTTTCTTCTCGAGCTCGGGGGTTTGCTTCTTCGCTTGGGGGACTTACTTTTCTTTCTTTTCTTTTTGCTCGTCCCCCCCTCTTCCTCCCTCTCCCTTTTGTCTCCTGGTTGGTTGTCAATTTTCTAGTTTATTTTCTCTTCAGTGCTAATAAACTGGTCTGCCAACTGGAGGAACTCGGTGATGTTTTTTGGTTTGTTGGCTACAACGTGTAGGTTGAACTCTTTATGGGTGATGCCTTTGCATGCTGCGGTGAGACGTACTGTTGGGTCAAGGTCCGATATCTGTAGGCATGTCTCGTTGAAGTGTTTGATATAGCTGCGGATTGACTCTCCCTCCCTTTGCACCACGCTCAGAAGGCTCTTCTGTGACTTCGGGCACTTCTTACTAGTGATGAAGTGGGCTGTGAACATGTCTGTGAATCACACCCAACTTCCGATGGAAGCCGGCACCAGGTTTCTATACCAGGTCCGAGCTACTCCTTTGAACGTGGTGAAGAAAGCCACGCACGTACAAGCCTCATCGGCCCCAATGAGGCGCATTTGGTACTGGAATGTGTCCACATGATCATTAAGATCAAATGAGCCATCGTACTTGTCTAGCGGTGGGACCTTGAAATCTTTCGGCATCGGGGCTGCTAGGAGTTCGGGTGTCAAGGGAGAAGGCCGGCTCAAAAGAGTAGGCGTTGTTCCTGTGGCCACCGAGCTCACCTCCTCTCTTTCCCGACCTTGGTCAGCCGGATGGTTGGGCTTTACTGCTGGATCATTTCTTGTTGAAGAACGACGAGTTTTGCGACATCGCCGCCACTGCTTTTTTGGTGGAGCGACATTTGTACTGTCGGCCTCCGTGTTGTTAGGCACTTTGATCTTACTTCGAGTAGTAGGGCGAGCTGGTTCAGAGATTCTTCTCACCACTTCCTCTTCGTCACGTGTTTGATGCTGGATGTTGCGAGGAACTGAGGGGTCTCTCTTGGAGCCCGCATCTCGGACCTCGGATCGTTGCTCTACATGGGAAATTTGCCGGTTGTGCCTCTCGAGCTGGCTGCGTTCGGGTCTATTCCTTGGGCTTTCTCTTCGAGAAGCAGGGGGAGTACATCGGTCACCTACAACACCCCGGGGCGGGGTTCACCCCGAATTGGGGGCCAGTACTTGTGATGTTCTCTCCCTCCGAGGCGGGGACTGGCGCTGGTTGTTCATCGGCTGGTTTGGCTGCAGTGATGGGAACTGCTGCTGATATTGTTGATAAAAGTAATATTGCTAGAACTGATGAATCTGCTGCATCTGAAGTTGCATTGTTCGGACGCTCTAGATGAGGTCGCTGAACTGGGAGTGTCCAATCCTAAGGGGAATCAAGGAAGACTCCGAGAATGTGGCGCTCACCTGGGGGAGTGGGACACTCACCTGTTGGGCAGCGTGGGGTGTGGACAGTGATGGGACTCCAGATATGGTCAGAGGAATGGTGAATTGGCCGATTGTCACCAAGGGTCCTTGGGGAGCGACTATCTCCTGCTCTTGCCCCCCCAGTGATGTTCATGTTACCCTTACCGTTGTGGTCGGAAGATGCCATTGAGGTTGAGACTAAATTTGAAACTGTAAAGAAATTGGGATCACCTTTCGATCGTGGTCCTACAGACGGCGCCAATTGATGATGCACGATCTGGAAGCTCCTAGCTAGAGTATGATCTGGACCTTAGTCGTGTAGCGAGCTGGACCAAGCTGCAAGACAGAGGATTAGAGCTCCCGGGGCGGTTAACCCAGTGAGGTCGCTCCGATGCTTAAGTTAGTACTGTGTCGTGATTGAGAGCTAGAATCTGAGTGCTAGAAAGCTTGGATGCAAGTAATCGCGCATACTTGGACCATGGAGGGGTTGATGCCTTTATATAGCTGAGTTATTGCGGGTTTCTTGGAACAGTTCCGAGATTTGCAACCTGAATGGACGAGATCCGTTTCCGCTTTAGTCGGGGAGTAACGTATCAGCCAATGAACTTCATTATCGCCGCCCGATTTGGACGGGGAGAAGATAAGGCTTGCCATTATACGGTATGATCCCGCAATATTCGAAGTCTACTGGGAAGCTAATGGGATTTATTACGTGTCACTTCGGTTCCTGGGCCCCGAACTCGATTAGCCGCCGAGGTGGTGTTACGCCGAGGTGGCTTTATGCCAAAGTGACTTTATGCTGAAATGACTTTATGCCGAAGTGAGTTTACGCTGAGCTCCGCATACCGCTGACTGAGTTTCCCTTACTGAGTTGTCATCCTACATGTAGATCGCGTCTAGGTGACTTTTATTTACTAGATTGTGCCAAATTACTCCTCATCAATATTAAATGGTGGGTCCAGATGGTCCATATGATAGGACGATTGAAAAACTGGGAGGAGCCCCATCCGCATTTTATTCTTTTCAAAATTCAAATGCATGCATGTATTATCCTTTGCAAGCCAACCCAAGTACCTAGCCACCCTCTGCATATGATTTTGATTTGTAAGAATGCTAGTAACAAGCTTGCTCTTTTCAACATCAGATTTCTTTCTTTCAGTAGACAAGATACATGAAACCCTTACTTTTTAAAATTAAAAATATATTGCTTTGTCTTCGCCTGCATCCTCCTATCTTTGAATGTGAAGGTATCATTGTTATTTGTTTCTCTATTTGCTCTTTCTAATGCTATTAAATATAGTTTCATCTTCAAAATAAAATTTTTTTGGGCTGTGTTTGGACTATCCAACCAACTACGTCTGTTTTTGGCAGCCGCAGGCTAATTGCTCAGACATTTTCTAAAGGCATTGGAAAGTAGGTATCCGTGTTATTCCTTTCCTTGGATGAAACATATATATACTTATATAATAATAAGATTGTAGGGTGTTGAATATATAAATTTCAGTCAACAAAAGCCTGTGAAATATAAAAAAAAAAATCACTGTACTTCATTTCTAATAGGCATCGGAAAGTAGATATTGCTGTACTTGGTTAGTTGACTTCATATACGTACAAATCCATGCTCCTACGTAGCTAGAATATATTGGAAGAACAATGGCATTTGTTGTTCGTGATGACAGATGAGTTTTCTTTTTCATTACAGGATGAAGATGAAGAATGTACAAAGGAGTATAAGCTAAGTTACTGTAACGTCAGATGAGGTATCATCCGGCACTGAAGTGATTGGCTTCTCACTTTCCAGTCCTTTCCAAGAGGTTCCGAAGGAGATCTCACCATCAAAGGGTTCTCTCGCGATGGTTTTATTTTCGACCGTCTCCTCAATAATTTCAATGGTCGAAGAGTTCTCAACTCCAGGGGAAAGGAGATTCTTATGTTGCACTTGGTCTTCACTGAATTCTGGGCGAGGACTTGTGACAGAAGGGGAAGGTAGGTGTTCATATGGAGGACTAGGCTCTTGCACATCAGAAAATGAACTTTCTGTGACGTTAGTAGGATAGGGTTCCGATGAGATGGATATGTTCCTGGACAGACTTCGCCTTGCTTGGTTTTGCCAGTGTCTGAGACCCTTGGAGACGCTTTCAGTGAATACTGCTGCTTTCATGCTTGAACCCATCTATTCAATGGCAGGCAGGCAGAGGAGTTTGATCAGTAAAAAAAATCAATGTATTATATCACATATGCAGCTGCAGGAGAGTGGCCATAGAGAGCTCAGACACACTCCCGCGCGCTCTGGATTAATTAGAAGGATTTGGGTTTGGGTTTACCTGTGTGACAAGTGCATATAGCGGGAGGGTCACGTATCCACAGAGTAACTGAACAATCACGCCCATGGCAATCCTTATGGTGATGTCTTCTGTCTTCCGGTGGAAACAAGATCTTAAACCAAACTCGTACTGTTTTAGGCACTGTAGTCAGCCATTGGATCCATAAAAATCTCTTAAGCTTTTTTACCAACCTCAGATACCTACCCATGTCCAAGTGAAGAATGCCAGTTGAAATGAGTTCTGCAACGAGGTCCGACAAGTTTGTTTAATTAGCATCTACTCGTATATCTACACAGCAGCTGGATGATATGGATGTGCAAAGACGATGGGACTAATTTGGCTTTGATAAGCATTTCCAGTATCAAAAGACATGAGTTAATCTATTATATTCCTTTCTGATTGTTAAGGTTGTTCATTCAGTGAAGACTGCAGATTGAAGGTAATCTTTTGCATTTATTTGTTCTCTTTTGTTTTGGATTGTTTGTACATTGTTTAATTTCCGAATTTTGTATTTATTCCTTACAGTATCTAGGTCCTCTCTCTCCATATATAGAAAGTATAACTAAAACTGTAAATTTAAAATTACAGATAGATGCATGGACAAATTACGTACAATGAATATTATTCATTATGATTATGTATCCTAACAAGGATTAATTGAGGCCACTTTCATCAGTTGCATTGCTACAGTAATGGCAGTGATATTTACCTGGAATAAGATGAAATGGATGAGATAGAGAAGCCATTGTGGTCGACCAAACCAGAAGAGGTCATCATTGGGCTTCACAAGAAAGGTCCCCTGAACCACGGTCGACTTGTTAGGACTCTCCAGATACATTTTGGTGATGATAACTTGTAACTTTGTCCCAATTACCAGAACCATCTGCAACAGAAAATTCACAGACAAACGATGGGAAGAAGTTATTCTTAGTGTCCGGCTTCTGTTATATAAAACCAAGAGTTGGGTTCACAACCTTACCATTAGAGGTACAAAGGGTAGCCAAAAATAGTTATAAAATTCTGCAAATATTAAAGGAGCTTTTGTGAGCAACCAGAGTCATTTCTGACCAAGAAGATAAAGTAATATTGCCGCATTATTTCTAAGATTTTAATTGATAGAAAGTCTAATACCATGTGCACTGAAAAAGATGAAGAATATGGAGAAGATCCAGATCCAAAAGCTGCAATATAATAGCCATGCAAGAAATTAGAGGACTCTGAAATCCAGTTCCACCCTCAGCAATCTCATATCACATGCAAGTGACTTTTACCTGATTCCCACCACCTTTTCAAAATCATGGTCGAAAGCTGTATTAAGGAATTTCCGGAAGTCGAAGTCACTGCCCTCAGCAATATTGTGGGCCTTAGTAATTCAACCAAGAAAAAATGCACTAGTTAATAGTCAGGAGTGTGTCTGGATTTGGTTTTTATTGTAAACTATTTGATTCAGGCATTCCTTCAGTTCAAGACTAGACTGGGGTCTGCAACAGGACACTCACTCAGCATCTCATATTGAACACAATGTTTGGTTTTAGACTCCATCCACTTGGTACCACCATTAGTGGAACCTGTGTAAGGAATTTCAGGTTTAAACCATATCCATTCTAATATATAGACTCAGTCCAAGATTGACTGAGATGTACAGGCTTATGTGTCCTGGTCAAATGCTGATACTAGAAACTTTTATGGCCTTGTCTTTCAAATGGAAAATGGTTGCTTAATAAACTTGCATTATTACTTCATTAGACAATAAACAATACAAAAAGCTTTCACTAAGTTTGGCAATAGCTGTGTTCATGGGCTGGATTAGCCTGGCTAGTTAGCATGAGAAGACATATTTGGGCTTCATGTTGATATTACTTTAACCCATTTCAGCGTTAGGACTTAGATTAAAGCCCAGGCTTGGTGGTTAGCTCAAGTTTTCAACTCAAGTTGTATATAGTCACTGATTAGAGGGAAATAGATAGGTTGGGGCAGTCATGAAGATTTGCTCAGTCTACGTGTACATCAGTAATTGACAGTTAGATGGGGTAGTCTTACCACAATAAACCCGTTACGGAGAGTGAAGTAATCCGCCTTAGTAACCGAGCCACTGAACTGCCTAAGGACACAAACCTAAAAAAAAAGGGAAAAAAAAAACTTAATAAAATTAATAGAGAAGATCCGAACCTCTTTGTTAATATGACTAAAGAGAATTTTTGGCTGTCATCTTGCTTGCTAAGGCACTTAAATGGCACTGAATGAAAGTCTAATTGGTTTAGCTTTTGTGATTTATTTTCTGTCGAGACAAAGCTCTTTCACATGCGATGCTTTACGACAGCAATCCCCTAGCACAGAAGCACTTCCCAAAGGCTTATGCAAATGCACTAGAGCTAGCCCTAGTGTGAAAAAATGACTTAAGTCGCTGAGAATTTAAGGCACTTACGAGCCAAAGCATAAGAGGATTGTCACTCCAAAATTTTAGATGGCGTCGTCCGAATGATGTGTCACGGGTGAGCCTGAACCTCCGCGGATCTATATTCACCATGAATCATTAGAAGAAGAAGAAGAAGAAAAAGAAGAAGAAGAAGAAGAAGGAAAGACTTTTCAATATAGCAAGGTACCGTTAGCGATTTGATACTCAAGGGTCTTCGTCTCTTCTTCCCAGGCTTTCCATTTGCTCATCTGAATATAAAACAAAGGTGGGAAAAGGGTCACAAAAAAGAACCAGAAAAAACAAAACCCTTCTTTGTTCATTGACTTGTTAAGCACCCTGCTGGCTTCTGCCTTATTTTCAAGAGTGTTAAATTGACATAGAAGCTGAGTGGACATGTGTTCATTAACGTATTAGGCGTGTCTTTGTCCCCCTTTTTTTCTCTTCTCGGAGTAGGGGCTGTGGAAGCTTATATATAGTTCCATGAGTCAACTTGCATGTGGTTTGGCATTTGGGCCATCTATTGATGCATATAGGGCCGCTAGCTCCATTCTGGGGGAAAAGATACATAGAGAAGATAGTCTCAATCAGGAGAACCTGAACTTGATTAAGATTATCTGCTTTCTGACCTGGGGTATGGGAAATACAAAAGGTATAGGTGATGACTTGAACAAAATGTTCATATATTTGCAATCCAAATCGAACCAAAAGAGGGGTGTACAGTTATTAATTCTCATCACCTTGCCGATGACCCAGCAGTTGAGATGGTCACTCGGCATCACTTCCTTAGTGAAGAGGCGGGATGGACCTCGTAGAACTGCAGGCTCTCCGTGGTCTAGCCAGTTGGCCTCATGTATACACCCTGCTCTGTAACCTCTGCTAACAGACTAACCCAAAACATTCAGATACCAAAAGGAATCACCTTAAAATCAAAATATTTCATTGAAATCTCTCTCTCTCTCTCTCTCTATTTTTTTTAGTAGTGGTCAATACGAAAAAATCATTTTAGAAGGTGCCAGTTATTGGCTCACTGGTAAAATCTGCACAGCTGATTGTAGCTGATGAGAACTGAGATCATTTCCCTCCTTCATCAGGGTTTGGGTTGTTCTGGGGCTACCCCTTTGTAGCCCATTTCCCTACTAGCACACAAATTAGTCATTTTGACATCACCCATGACGCAGATACGTACTAAAGATTCATTCCCTCAAGATTACTGAAAACATTGCATTTACCTTGGCCATTCCTAGAAACATGGTTAGAACACAGTATAGAACATGAAACACCGCCAACACAAAGATGAAGATGTGCAGTTGCTTGATACCTTCCTTTGATATTAGCGAAACCATTCCCTGCACCAATCATATCAATCAAAACAAATGCATGCTCAGCATCTCATCAATCCTCCAACCAGAAAAAAAGGTAAGTAGCTAGCTAGAATAAAATAAACTAAGCTTACTAAACTAAACAAACAGGTAGGTATCTTAGATTCGATGTTCTGTGTAATTTACTCTTCTATCTTCTCATGCCTTAATTAATAGCTTTTTTACTTCCTTCGGGGGAAACACATTAATAATTTTAGTTGAAAAATAATATTCATATTGATTCCAGTTGGGGATGGCTCCTCACCTTCGCCTTGCAGTTTTCATCTCCGCCTGTGATTTCACTTTGATGGCCAGTTGTAAGTGTTCCGTTGGATCCCAGGATTTCAGTAGCGGAGGAAAAAGCAGGTTCATCATCATCGGTGTGGAAAGGGTCTTGGCAAGGAAGAAAGGAATTCCCCACTGCCTTGGTGACGCATATTTTTGATATGGGGCTTTCGGCAACGGTTAGAAGCAATGACAATAAACCCAGAATCATCAATTCTACATTAACAGAAAATCAATTAATGTTTTTAGCCAATTACCAAAATATAGGTAGGTGGCCATGTCATACAAAGTACATACATATATATGTATCTGATCAGAGAGAGAGAGAGAGAGAGAGAGAGAGAGAGAGTCACCAGTCTTGATCTTCCCAAAAGCATGGCTTAGCGACTTTCTTTTCCTTCTTTTGAGAGCCTGAAATATGAAGTTGAGATCATTTGTGTAAGCTTGAAAACATGTCTGAGTTGAGTATATACAGTGTATGACAGAAAACAAACATATATGATATATATCTTCATTAATTAGTACATACAAAAGACAGTTAGTTGTATGCATTGGCGTTAATATACCTTGGTGAGAAGGCGAATGGCACCCTCTATGAGGACAGAAAGGAGGGTGAGAGCCAAACAGACGATCGAAAGAGCCCATGATGGTGTCTCCTCAAGGGAACGTTCCATGACGATATATCCTCTAGATCTCTCTTCTTGATTTTCTCTTTGTGATTATGTGTGTTCTGTAATAACAGGAGAAGCTAGCATTCTTTATATATACGTAGGAATGTTATTGTGAAAAGCCGGATGGATTTGTTTAACACGTCACCTTCTCTGACCCTTTGGCACTTCACCAGCACAACCTCCATCCGTCGAAGAAGCTGGAAATTAAGAAAATATACCAAGTATTTAGCCATCTTACCCACTACTCAATGTTCATGAAGTGGAGCAACATTAACCATTTTGACAGGGAGAGGCTTTGCAAACTGACCAATCTCAACTCTCGATCAATCCATTAAAATTAAAATTGATAATATATAGTTTTATATATTTTTTTCTAAAGAGACCGTACGTGTTGGGTCAATCTAATATTACTGATCAGTACGTGTAGATTGAACCCTCAAGATAAGTGATCAGAAATGACAACTTGAACCCTCTGGTGTTGATACTTTGGATTTTGATGAAGAGAGGAAATTAAGGCTGTTCAATTCCTCAATACCTAAGCTGGCTGCAATAACCATGCTCGCATGCAGAATTAAAGCCCCCAACACAGCCTATGAATTATCACTTGACAGTATATTCAACAAAGTTAAATTGCTCAGAAGATAATAACTTTATGTAGATATATAGTTCGTACTGGTTTGCGTAATAAAGATTCAAAATGTCAAACCTAGCTAGCTAATGGAGAGAAAAAGAAGGAATAGAAAAAGTCAATATCCCTATCAATATGTAATGCAACTTATGTGTGGGCAGCGAAGTATTATCAATTGATTAAATTAATAAAGACTATAGTTTGGAATCTAACCATCAATAAAACATGTAATTGGTGGCCTATTTAATTAAATTACTCTTATTTATTGTCGTAACCAAATTTGATGTTGGTAGAGATGATTATTTAATTTATTAGTATAGTTTTCTTAAGCAAGACTAATGGAGGCCGGGTTTAATGAAACAGACAAGTGAGTAGTGGATTTAGATTTATTTTAAAGGAAAAATGAATGGATGACTTTGGCCAATGGTTAGCCTATTCATCACGGCTCCGTTGAATCCGCTCTCACCGCTCACCGCACACTGGGGGAACAAATATATATCATAATGTAGGAAAAAAACCAGAGACTTACGCTAGACGGGGAGAAGAGAAAGCCACGACGGGCCCACCCCCATGTGTGAGACATGTTAAGTCAATGCCTGTACGGTTCCATTCGAATCTGTACTTGCTCTTATTTATATCGCCAAAAGGTTTTGGTTGCTTGTTTATGCAGGATACACATCATCAATACTCCCTATAATATATATATATATATATGAATTTCTCTCTCTCTTTATATATATCAATTTCAGTCATGTTTCAGATAACCATTTGAATGGGTGGCTACAAACCATTTGGACTGAGATATATCATTCTATTTTAGTGTTTGATGCAGATGTTTAATTATATCGTTTACAATTGATTCAATGTTTGAAGACTACAGAAGTTGAAGACGATTGTTTCTTGAAAGTTGAAACAACATTTGCTAGCTATTACCGCCATACGAATGCATTAAACACCACACATGTAGAGGTGTCAATGGATCGGTTTTGGGTTGGATCTGTCTAAATCAGAATCAATTTGTATAGAGTAGATGGACCAATAATACATATTGAGTTAGACCTGCAGTGGAGCTTTAATGGCCTAAAGACCTGATTCATTTGTAATGGATTTATTTGAACGTATCGGATTGAACCACCAATATCAATAAGAATATAGGCTCCAATGGATCAATCTTGGGTTAGAATCAATCTAAATTAAAACCATTTTGAACAGATACACAGTTCAGACATTGAATGGGACTGGTTCAAAATATTCATTGCATTGGATTGGACATGATCCATCTGCAATGGAGTCATATTGGATCAAATCGGATTAAAGCAAATTCAGTCCAATTAACACCCCTAAAACAACTAACAGTGTTATTAAAACAATACTAATTAAAGATTATTTTTTTAAAAATAATAACGAACACAACAAGCCACATATAATAAAATTAATAAGGTAAAATACAATAAACCCCCCTGAAATTTCTAACAATCATAAACATATCTCATATAGTTTCAAATTAGCAAAACCCTCACCTCAATTTTTGAAAAATTCACAAAAACCTCTTTTCCGTTAATAATCAAGACAAAACATATATAATTACGAAATTACCCCTAAACGTCATTTAATCAATTTGTAAAATATCATACCCTTAATCGAACAACTTATGCCTTTTATTCTCTTTGACAGAACAGACGAACGCAAACAGCGGCACTATTACTCGGAAGGACATATGTTTTGATTGTTTATGAGGTTTTTTGGTGGCACACACACACACCCCAAGGATCATATATCAACTATCTTTTTAACTACTGTTATGATTCGACTTGCCTTGGAGTTCTGTTTGTCTGAGATCGGTTACGTAGAAAGAGGTAGAAAGGTGGAAGAAAGAGAGAAAGAGAAAAGGAGAAAAGTCTAGTTCGAACTCGAAGTCAAAAAACCTTCCTCCCATTCGGCCAGACATGTGCTTTTATTATTAAAAATAGTGAAAAAGACATATGTGCCTTATTTAAGTAAGGAGCACTGGTTCAAACACAACATTACAGATTAACAACCTTAATATAAGTATAAAGACAAAAATACCTTACACTAACACTCCCCCTCGAGTTGGAGAGTATATATCATATAATCCCAGCTTGTTACATATGTAGTCCACTTTTCCCCGACTCAACCCTTTTGTAAATAAGTCTACCCACTGGTTTCCTGTATTGACGTATGTAGTGTCTAGTACTCCATTTAGCATTTTCTCCCTCCCAAAGTGACAGTCAACCTCAATGTGCTTGGTTCTTTCATGAAACACCGGATTAAAAAAAATATGAACTGTAGCCTGACTGTCACAATAGAACTTCATTGGAGTATTGATGTTGTACCCTACCTCCTGTAGAAGGTTCCTTAGCCACAYAAATTCACAAGCAGTATGTGCCATAGCTCTATATTATGCTTCTACACTACTTCTTGCCACGACTGTCTGCTTCTTACTTTTCTATGTCACCAGGTTACCACCTAGAAAAGTGCAATAGCTTGTGGTAGACCGCCTATCAGACACAAAACTGACCCATTCAGCATCAGAATACCCTTCTATTTTAAGTTTTCCACCACTTCTGTATATCAAACCACGACCCAGGGCTCCTTTTAAATACCTCACAATTCTTAGAACTGCATTCCAATGAGGAACTAGAGGTTTCTGCATGAATTGACTTACCACACTAACCGCAAATGAAATGTCTAGCCGAGTAATGGTTAGGTATTTCAGTTTACCTACAAGTCGCCGGTATTTGCTAGGGTCTTCAAACACTTCACCCATATCACTGCTTAACCTAGTATTTTTTTCCATAGGTGTTTCAGTTGGTTTAGAACCCAACAAGCCTGTTTCTTCCAGCAAATCAAGCATATATTTCCTCTGGCACAAATTAATACCATACTTAGATCTTGCTACCTCTATCCCCAAGAAATATTTCAGTTTACCAAGATACTTTGTCTGAAAATGATCCTGTAGATAAGTCTTTAGCCTGTCAATGCCCATGTTATCATTCCCGGTAATAACAATATCATCTACATACACCACCAATAGTATTTTTCCTCCCGAAGAGTCATGGCTGAATACGGAATGATCAACTTGGCACTGTTTCATACTAAACTTATTTACCATCACTGAACCTACCAAACCATGCTCGAGGAGACTGTTTAAGCCTTTATATAACCTTCTTTAATCTGCATACCTTACCATCCTCCCCCTGAGCAAAAACCATGGAGGTTGCTCCATGTAGACCTCCTCGAGTAAGTCACCATGCAAAAAGGCATTCTTGATATCAAGCTGATATAGCGACCAATCATACATAGCGGCAAGAGAGATCACAACACGAACTGACCCTATCTTAGCAACTGGTGAGAAGGTCTCTGTGTAGTCAATACCATAGGTTTGGGAGTACCTTTTTGCAACTAATCGCGCTTTCAGGCGTTCAACACTACCATCAAGGAAATACTTAACTGTATAAACCCATCTACAACCGACAGCTTGCTTCCCAGGAGGAAGAACGGTGAGGTCCCAAGTATGATTATGATGAAGGGTTGAAAGTTCTTCTTCCATCGCACGACACCACCTTGGAGAGGCAAGGCCTTCCTGGACATCTTTGGGGACAACAACTGATGATAACAAAGTGACAAACTGGCGATGGGAGGCGGAAATGTGAGTAAGTGAAAGATGACGAGAAATAGGACGAATGGTGCAAGTGCGTTTACCTTTCCGCAAGGCAATGAAAAGATCCAGATCAGATACTGGGTTCAGGTCTGGAGCTGGATCTGTCGATGGTGATGTAGCCGGAGGAGTAGTAGCTGGTACACGTGGTGTATACACTTGACGGATAGGTGGGCGTTCAGCAAGTGGTGGCACTGGAGGCAAGGACTTGGTCACGGCTGGAACAAGAGGAAGAGGAGAAGGTGATGAGGAGGAAGAAGCATCACTAGACCCCAAAAAGAAAGGAGTAGGCTCAAAGAAGGTGACATCCGCACACACAAAGGGCCATCGAGAACTAGGATGGTAACACTTATACCCTTTCTGGGTTCGAGAATAGCCAAGGAAGATGCACTTAAGAGAACGGGCGTCGAACTTGTCGTTCCCGGGGCCCAGATTATGGACGAAGYAGACACACCCAAATACCCGAGGAGAAAGAGGAAACGGAGACAAGGTGGGAAACAAGATCGTAAATGGAGAATGACCATCAAGGATGGACGTGGGCATCCAATTAATCAGAAAGCAAGAGGTAAGAATCGCATCACTCCAAAAGGGTTTGGGAACATTCATGTGATGCATGAGGGATCGTGCTGTTTCCAAGAAATGGTGGTTTTTTCTCTCAGCCACTCCATTTTGTTGTGGGGTGTAGGTACATGAGGTCTGATGTATAATGCCATGTTGATCCAAGTATTCTTGAA